GGGCTCGGGGGCCCGACCGGGGGCCTCTCGGGTCTGCGCAGGGCTCGGAGTTCTCCTCGCCGTCCCCAGGCCCTGCCCGGGCCCGGAGCTCTCCGCAGGGCCTCGGCCGTCTCCTCAGAGCGGGGCCAGGCCCGTGGGGTCCCCGCCGGCAGGTTGGAGGCCGGGGCGGTTTAAGGGCAGAGCCCGGTGCTGGGGACCGGCAGGGTCGAGGCCTCCCCGTGGTCCCCAGCGCAGCTTTGCTGGCTCCGGGCTTGGACCTTAGAGCCGGTGGCCGTGAGGTTTAGTGACCAGCGTGGCACTGGAAGTGGGGTGCCAGCTCCCAATTCAATACAGTGATCACAGGCTGAAAATCTATACAGTCCTCTGCAGGAGGTCAAATAAACTCCACTTGATAGACCTTCTGGCTTTAAAATCTACTTAACTTCTGACTGCAGGGCCAAAAGAGCTGCTGGGGGGTTACTGGGAGTGGGAAGGGGTAGCCCTTCAGGGCACTGGAACCCCACCAGCGCAGTTACCAGCCTTGACAACGAGCCTGTTGCAGCAACGTTGCCTCCCCGGCACGATCATTAAATACCCTTTGCAGTCATCTGTGCAGATGCTGCCCTCGACAGAGGAAATCATGAGTTCCTGGTGTAGATGTATCCTATGAGGCACAGCCGTACAGACCCTGGGCAGCGGTTTGTCAGGCAAGCATCACCCCAGACATCGTCTCTGGGCTGTCCTGGTGAAGCCCTCAGCCTGCCCAGAGAGAAAGTCAGGCACTGGAGAAATCCTCCAAACCCAAAAGTATTCAGAACGAGAGGGAAATGCAAAGGGAAGGCGTTAGGAAAAGGGGAATTAAGCGCTGGCACCAGATGGTAGCTTGAGCCTAAGGGGTTCCTGCAAGAAGGAGCCTTCTCCCTCCTCAAAAGAAGATTTTCAGGAGTTTGTTTCTGCTTAGAGGGAAGGAGGGAGGGATGCAGGTCCCTGTGGGGGAGCACAGATGACCCAAAGTGAGAGCAGGGCTAGCAAACCAAAAATCCCTGGTTTCCCTGACCTACAGGAGGGAGCAGCAAAGGCATTACTTACTCTGTGTAATGCAATACTCTGAAAAGATCCTTGAAACCGTTCTCAAGCTAAAAAGCAGTTAAGTGTGTCAGCACAGCACTGCGCTGCAGCAGTCCTGTCGAGGGGCAGAGCTAATTAACCAAAGCACAGGATCACATTCACATGGCATCTCAGATGGCCGAGATGAATCCCCCAAACTCTCCGGAGTCTTGGTTGGCTACTGCCGCTATATACAAAGACAAAGCAAGGACTGGAGGGAAGACACAGGTAAAATGAGTTGCTGAAGGTCAAATACTGGATCAGTGACAGGACGGAAAACAGAACCTACAGTTCCTCATCCCTCCAGTACTTTCTCCTCTGGGCCGTAACAAAACCTCAGAACAACGGGATTTAGCTGCTGCTGACACAGAAGTTTCATGTGTTCTAGGGGAAAATTCTGTATTTTGGTGTAGGACCACAGTGATTTGGTTGTGCACGTGGAAAAAAAAAAAAAAAAAGCTATTTACTAGCATGGTACCATTACTGCCATGGTCCAGTGACATACACTGACACACACCGGATGACTTAGAGGGTAGTGAAATATGTGCCCTGTCATATTAGAAAAAGGCCCCACAACAGTACAGACCCAATCTTTTGTTTTAAGTCGATAAAGACAGCTAAATGCCATTTGCTGCTAAGTGACTTCTAATGATTAAATAACCTTTCTTCCCTCACCCCCCCCAGGGCATTTAGTGATAATATAAGAAAGATTTTGCACATTGTTTAGCTTACATGGCCATCTGGCACTTTTGCATTTCAGTAGCCTTGAACATTAAAAAAAACAATAGATAAAGAAAACCAGTCCTATCTTATCAGAGACCTGGAGAAATTTAACTCTGTCAGAGTACACAGGATTAACCAAGTCGTTATAGCTCTTTCATTGTTTCCATCTTAATTAACGGTCATATTCCTCAACGCTTTCCATTGTTGTACTCTCTAAACCAGGCTGTTCCTTATCACCTTTGTATTTGCTTCACTTGTGAAACACTTAACTCCAGCAGTTGCCATCTTCATTACAAAATATTTCTGCTTCTGGGTAATAGAGACAAAAAGGAGACTCAGGCTGAGAAAAAATACAGGTTTTAACCCACCCACCCCCTCAAAATAAAACAAAATACTAGAAGTCTTGTCTAAGCTAGGGAAAAGGATGCCCTTTTCAAATGAAAACACAATGGTCTTAACTCAATTAGAAACCTACTTAACGCTGCTGAATCATCTGATACCACTGGACTAAGTGATTTCTTCATCTGCTTTTGCTAAAAGGCATAAAAGTACAATTCACCCAAAGTAATCCTCTCCAGAGACCCTGGAAACAACAAAAAGTTTGGTCTCAACTCAGCAGTGGCTTATGGTTGAATCCAGCATTTGCTCTTGGGTTAATTCCTGCTCCCTTCTTCCCCATTGAAGAAAACCAAGGTGGTTAGTCTGTTTGGGAAGAAATGTAATTTCCTTAAGAATGCGGCTCTGGGCCTTGGAGGATGAAACCAGCTGCAGGATGCTTTCACCTGTAGTGCTAGAGCAGGTTTTAGACTGAAATCTGTTAATAGCACAGAACATTCGGTCTAAGCGCACCGTAAATAACAGAGGATGTAAAGATATGCTGAGATAAAAACTACCCAAGCTTTGTTTCCAACTGTACTTTGCATTATAAGATTGCTAGTTTGCATTTTAGGCTACCTCCAGTGAAAGCTGGGAGCTTATAGATGTGTTACAACATCTTGCTGTTAGGTATCAGGCTGCCAGGGTGTAATAGAATATCCAGAGTCGGGTACCTTGCCTTTCTATTTATAGCCCTGAGAATGTTAGACACTTCCCAAGGGCGAGTGGAAACTCCCACCTGCCAAGCAGAGACCTGGTTGCAGGAAACATCAAACAAGGGGTGTATGAGACTTGCTTTGCATAGCCAGCTTGTGGTGTTACCATCAGCTCCGGATCCTGGGCCCACACATCTGGGGTTTAGGACTCTATAAGGGCTCTTTGAAGAACAGAGCACGGTTACCAATTTCTTTTTAACACCGTGGGCTGTCAGGGTTGCGGTTGATGTTATTTGTTGTACGAGCTAATCTAGGAGTAGAGCAAATACCCAGAAAAGAGAAGATGCTCTCCAAGCTCATACTGGTGAGAGTCCAAATATCCATCTCTCGTACCTGCTCGGGCCATACCCTCCTCCAAGTGTGCAGGCTGAGGCACGGGGGGTTTGTGGGGGGCTGTCTCACACTCCTGTTAAAAACGTGCTGCTGTGCAAAGTGAAAGCCCCAAAACAGAGGGGGAAAATGCAGCAGAAGGCTTAACTGTCTTTCCTAGTTGTTGTAAGGCAGGAATTTAGCTTGAATTTTCTGCTCCCAGAATTTGTTCTGTTTTTTAAACAAACTAGTGACCACTTCAGATTAAAAGCATAAGCAGAAGTGGGAATAACAGCCAATGTACCAATAACAGTTTTGCTGCACAATACTTAAGAGATTATCAATTAAATTTGGCAGGAAGACTACTCTGTGCCCTCTGAAGCATAATGCTGTGCTGCACAGACAGTAGTTTGCCTACAGAGGCTTTTCTTTGACTCCATGCAAGTGGCAAGTATGTTTTGCTGTGGACTATAGCTCTAGAACTCCATTTGCTTGAACTTTCACGAAAAATAGATTCAGAAATTGTAATTATTTTAGGGCTAAATTTGGGAATAGGTTTCCCTACATGCTCCATACTTCAGTAAGGTGCATTTATGCAAGGCTGGGAAGAATTACCCTCACAAATAACAATATACCATGCGAACAAATTAAGAGTAGAAAGAGCAAGTTAGCAGATTTCCCCTAATGATCTCCTCGGTATAAAATGTATCCGATAATGACAGTTATATTGTCAAGAAATAGGTAAATTCAAATTGGTTCTCAAAGCTTCAGTGGCTAAAATGTCAGCATATTACCATAAAACCATCAGGACTGTATGAGAATGGCAGGTTTAACCTTTCACGCATGTATCTCTACAAGATAGTGTATTTTATATTCATATATATAAAGTTTATATATTCACATTGCTTATCTCTATTAAATGGTAATATGTTTGTTCCTCTTAACACAATAAAATCAGCAGAAATCAGGAATTTGGTTGAAAAACACTCAATTACCATGTTTTATCTTAAACTGACATTGCAATACTTTAAAATCATGGCATTATTCAAATACATCAAGACCCTTGTGGTGACCTAGATATTGTTAGTGGAAGGTGTCACTGCAGCGTGTTAAGGAAACCCATTCTGGCTTCAACCTAACTAGCTCAGGTGACAACCAGCGAAGGTGCATGGCAAAGTCTGAGCCTGCCAAGGACCCGCTAGGTACTCAGGTTACCAGTTGCCTTGAAGGGTGTACCACTGCCTTATCACTGATGTTGTTATTTGAGCTAGTCAGATTAAAGCCCTGGCTGCAGTGCAGCCACGCTTCTTAAATTCAGTATCAACATCCACAGGAGTGGGAATTAGCAAACGCGCCAGTCTGGATGCTCCGAGGAGCAAACAAATAGTGTTTCAGCATGAGGGAATCCTTCAGGTGCAAGTTTGCAATTAAAAAAAATATTTTTGGTTGGAATGAAGATGCTCCTAAACTCATTTTTTCCCTAAAACTGGTAGTTCAGCATGGCTCATATCATCAGACTGTATCCTGATGTCACAAGGTAGAACTGCTGAATGCCCACAGATTCCACTAATTTGGGAAAAAAAGAGGAGTAACAAAAATCAACAAACACCGAGGACTGCATTGGATTGGAGTCTGTGGGGAGACTACAAATATGAACTCCTGTTTCTGTGGTGTTTAATTGGATCATTTTCATTCCATTGGGGAAGCTGGCAGCAGTCGATTACCTCCATAATTATTATCTTATAGTAAATCAATGATTTTAGGATTAGTCCGGATGCTCAAAGTTTGCAAATCTTTGCTGTCTCCCCTGTCAATCTATACAAGGAACCAGGGGGTGACCTTTCTCTGACTCCTACAATCCTCCAGGCACAGAGCCGCTCTCCACTGATCCACGACTGATCGCTACTGTGGGCAACAGCTCTGTGCTCTGACCGAATGGTCTTTAATCCACTTATTGCTGTCTTCATCCACTGTAATCCCCTTCATATAAACATTTAGCGACATTTTACTGTCATGCCGTATGGAGGTCCTGCATTTTTCGGCTGTTTGCAAGTGAAAGAGCTCAAACAAATGAATTCATGACAGTCCTTGATTAGGACTAAATTGTGATAAAGCTTTGCTTGTGTTTTGCTTCATTTGTATCTTTGTTTCCTCAAGACTCCCTAACTGTTTCCCTAGGCCTCTTTGTCTGTTTAGGTAAGATTAAGATGCTCGTTAGGCTTCCTACGTAAATCACTGATAACCGAGACTCAAGACCTTCAGTGGACACTTGGACAGTTCCTGGAACGTGCAAACTAAGATAGGAAGGACTCAAACAAAAGGATACAGAGACCCTGTAACGAGGAGGATGATTTTTGCTGATTTAGGAAGAAGACACCTGGACTTTACTTCACAGCGCATGCTCTGGAAAGAAGGTCAAGTAGTGAACACCGTGAGAAAGACTACTTACTTCTTCCCTCGACCACTGAAGACCCCCAATCGAACTTAGGATGCATGCTCAAAGGGGTGTTCAACTTATATAAATGGATTCCAAGAACTCCTTATCATAAGACAACCCCTTCCAGGAAATCTAATGAATATGTGTGATTTTTGTACGTAAAAACTGATGTCCCTCACTAAGTCGGGGGAGCCCTTATGGTGGAGAATCCTCAGAGGGACCGCAGCGCTGCTAGTAAAGAATACCTGCTTAACAGTAGAAAACTTTACTGTTGAGTCAGTGTCTTTGTTTCACAAGGTAAGGTTGTCCTCCGCTGTTTACCATCTCGCCTGCTGCTCAGCGGTTTCCTGGTTGGCAACAACTCTTTTCTCAAACGCCGTCTACATTTTTGCAGTGCCACCAAGTGGCTGGTCTCTTCCTTAGCATTTTCGCATTTTAATTTTGCAGATTTTTCTTAAACAAACGCGGAACAAATTGCCGTGCAGATGAGAATCGGATTAAAAAACAATCCACCTCAGCAAACCGGAGGTACGACACAAACACAGGAGAGAATATGGGGGGCAGCAACGGCTCGGCACAACCCCAGGCCACTCAGTGTAAAGGCGGCCGCGGTTCCCGGGAAGGCAGCACGAGCAGGTCGCTGAGGTACGGCCATAGACCCGGGAGGGCGGAGTGCGGCCCGCGGGTCCTTCACGCTGCCTCCGAGTCCCCGCGGGGCGTGAG